ATTTATTAAATTAAATAAATATTTAATAAATAAATAAAAACTTTTAAAAAAATAATAATTTAATAGTAAAACAAATAAATACTTAAAACTTAAACAAATAAAAATAAAATGAAAATACAATAAAAACTTAAACACTTAATAAATGAATAATTAAAAATAAAACAAAAATTTAATAAATAAATAAATAAATAAGTATAAAAAATAATAAAATAAATAGAGTTAGGAGTGTGTTTGGTTTGGACCAGAACAGACAGTTCATATTCAGTGTGTGTCTGTGTATGTATGTCTCTGTGTTTGTCTGTCTGTTTGTATGTATCTTGTGTGTTTGTGTGTGTGTGTGTGTGTGTGTGTGTGTGTGTAACTGACTGGTGCTATTTTTTCAGGATTGAGTTGTTTTACTTTGAGTTTATCATTGTGCGTGTGTGCGTGTGCGTGCGTACGTACGTGCGTGTGTGTGTGCGCGTGTGTGTTTGAGTTTGCTGGTATGGAGATGAACTGCTGGATCTGCCATTCATGTGCTGATGTTCAGAGTGAAACACACGCACACACACTGTGCCAACCCTGCTGGAGTGTGTGGATCACGGCGGGTCCGTCAGACATGATGAAGATGAAGATGATGACGGTGGTGTTCTTCAGACGGCGCTGTGCTCTTACCAAACCATTTTCTACTGTGTAAATAACGACCTTGCGTTCTTTGAGGCAATAAGACTCAGAGTGTGTGTGTGTGTGTGTGTGTGTGTGTGTGTGTGTGTGTGTGTGTGTGTGTGTGTGTGTGTGTGTCTGTGTGCATTCCGTTCTTCACCATGGACAAGAGTTTCAGCTTCGTCAGTCATTCACGTGTGTGTGTGTGTGTGATTGCGTGCGTGTGAGAGTGCGTGCGTGCGTGCATGAGTGAGTGTGTGTGTGTGTCAGCAGAAAGGGAACAGTCGCTCACTCCAGCGTGTCTCTTGATTAGCAATAACACACACACACACACATATGAGTGCTGCGTGTCTATTCGCACTGATCTCAGACCTGCATCTCAACTCCACCTCTGCACACTTGAGGAGAGAGAGAGAGAGAGAGAGAGAGAGATCTCGGCTGCGTTCCAATCCAATGTGAATCCCCTTCATTCACTACCTTAGGATCAATTACATCACACAAGTGTCCACTACCGGCGGAGCATCTGAGTGGAAACGCCCTACACCCTTGAGCACTTGGGAACTACACTGTAGTGACGTGGCATTCTGGAACACACATGTGCTGGAGTGGACACATGAAGCCGACTCGCTCCCTCAGTCACTATCCAGGGATTGAGCTCATGTCCATGTAAACTTCCCTCGTTCCCTTGATGAAGCGGAACACTTAAAATGGCACTAGGGATTCCCAATAAGGGAAGCAAGAGTGTGTCTGAAAGTGAATTGGAACGCAGCCATTGAGAAACACAGAGAGAGACTGAAGGAGACACTAGAGTCAGGAGGAGGAGGAAGATCATCATCATCATCATGGTTATTAATATGATGAAGGTTATGATCAGTGTTGGGTGTGATGATCATTTACAGATGAGCTGATGATGAGAATTAAATGTCTTTTGCTCTGAGGAAGTGAAGGGTCCCTGCTCATCTCCATAATTCATCACAGTTACAGTGTACTTGACTTGAATACTGTACAGAAGTTTAATAATAGGGTGGCATGGTGGCTCTGTGGTTATCACTGTGGCCTTACAGCAAGAAGGTCTCTGGTTTGAGTCCCGGGTGGGTCAGTTGGTGTTTCTGTGTGGAGTTTGCATGTTCTCCCCGTGTTGGCGTGGGTTTCCTCCGGGTGCTCCGGTTTCCCCCACAGTCCAAACACATGCGCTATAGGGGAACTGATCAACTACACTGGCCGTAGTGCATGTGTGTATGGGTGTTTCCCAGTACTAGGTTGCAGCTGGAAGGGCATCTGCTGTGTAAAACATATGCTGGAATAGTTGGTGGTTGATTCAGCTGTGGCGAGCCCTG